GTGAAATTCTTGCAAATTTTCAAAAAAAAAAATTTCTGCTTGGGGGGGGGTTCGTTCGAACCCCCCGAACCCCCCCTGGCTACGGGCCTGTATTGAGATATGCTTGGACAGACTAGTGGCCCTATACCTTTCAGAACTGTTCTAAATTGGATGCCAGTCAGCAAAAAGCTGCTCTCCCTCTTTCTTGATGAAGCCTGTTAATATCGTAGCACTGTATCACCTGAGCTAAACCGACCAGGCTCTCCGACTGTTACACGACGGAAGACCTCTCGCCACGTAGATGGGAACTTGTGGCTACCTTGGTGGCTACACCTGAGCGTGAGCTTTCGACGTGTTCATTGTTTTTGCATTATCATTCCATATTGGAATTCTCTCCCTTCCTCTTTAGTTAATTGCTAATTTGAAGCTTTTCCCACTGCGACCTGTACTGCTGATATGTCTATTTGATTAATTTCATTTCGTTCAGTCTTCGATATAGTCCATATTTGACGTTGAAGACTATAACCTTTATGAGGTTGATGAGGTTATGAGGTTTATGTGTCACTGTCAGTAATACATGATAACGACGATAGATGGCAGCAGGGAACAGAAACACGGAAAAGCACCACTTCAAGTTCATGCATGTTTTGTTGTTTTTACCATCGTTTTAAAAAAAACATCAAATACGTCAACTTAAAAAATATCGTCAAATGAGTCTTTCTTGGGAGAATTGAGTGCTGGTGACAAGGCTTATGACTTAACGATGCGCCCAATAAGAAACATAATATGTGAGGTGTAGCAGCAGGTGACAAATATACAAAAACAGGTGAGTAGGCTACATAGCCCGACCAGGCTATGCGACGGATTGTCTATACAGTCCTATTCTAACCCTAGCAATACCGTTTCTTGGAGCTAGTGAGTACAGAGTAGCCTTTGAACGCCGTTTTTTCCATTTTCTGCGAACAAAACATTCATTGGTAGATATGTATACTGTATAGCCCGGACCTCGAAGAATAACGTGCGCAAGCCCAGTTTCAAAAACGCTGTGGCTATATATGCCCGGCAGCCGGGCACGGTCTTCGTTTTCCTAAATGCCCGGCAGTTCTTAACCCTAACCCTAAACCTAACAAAAACCCTAACTCTAGCCCTAAACCTAACCCTAACCCTAACCCTAATCCTAACTCTAACCCTAACCCTTGTTTACTCGAGATAACGCTAAAAATTAAAAACTGCCGGGCATTTAGGAAATCGAAGACCGTGCCCGGCAGCCGTCAGATATACGCCGGCTGCCGGGCATATAGCCACTGTGTTTCAAAAACCCTCTCCCTGATTTGTCAAACAGTTTCTAGGCTTAGCCGCTTAGTTATACAGTTCAACATAGTCCGCAAATGCAGACGTTATAACTCCGCGTTGCTAATCTGAGGGTGCGGGTTTATTTACCCATTTACCCATTATTTACGCTGAGAGGGTCTATGTCCACGGGGTACTGCCAGAACGTACCCTGGGTACAGTCTGGTATACCGGAACGTACCCTGGTACCAGAGCATATAAATCAACGTGATTTATATGCTCTGCTGGTACTATCTAATATGCCGGACCGTACCTCGCCTACTCCACTAACGAGTCTAGGGAGTCGCCTTACTGTTTTATCTAGGCTGCCGAGTAGACACAATAATGTTGTTTTGTGTTATATTATTTCATCAAGGCTGCCGAGTAGCTTCCTATCAGTAACACTTCACCAGTAATGCGGCATGCTGCTTGACATACTACCCGATCTAGCTCCACGGGGGAAGCGAACACTCCATTTGATAGACCTGACTGAGGGTCGACATCAGAAACGGGGGGTTTCTGAACTAACTCCACGGGTGGAGCTAACACTTCATTTGACAGACCCGACTGAACAAGCTCCGCGGGGGAAGCCAACACTCTACTGGGCTGACCCAAATAAGGGTCGCCATCCGAAACAGGGGGTTTCTGAACTAAGACTCTGTACAGTAACTGTACAGTAGCATCCCGTTGTGCTTGTAATTGCTCTGCCATAAATGTTCGTTGTTGCTGTTGTTGTTGCTGCATAAAAAACATCACTGCCTTCATTTGTGGAGAAAGAGGAACTTCCTGCTCCGGTGCCTCTTCCGGGGATTCTTTGGCAACTCTCTTAGGAGGCATTGTTTCTGTGAGTGTACAAATTCGTTTTCAACTCAAACGGCTAATGCAACTCGCCTTGCTTTACGCAAAACCCAGCTACAACCATAAGTAGGCTTACTTCACCGTTATATTGCGTGTGTATTGTCTTAATGAAATATGTAATCTCTCTATATATTTATTTTATTTTATTTTCTGGGAAACCAAAAATAAGAAAAAAAATCTCTATCTAGGGGGGGAAATCTTTTAGTGGGTAGGCCCCCCTATAGGGGCTACCAAAATGCACAAAATATCTTAAGTTCCAACAACAATGCACACCATATAATCAGATATAATTAATCAATCGCATGTGAACGCAATATCAATGACAGACACGGGATATGCAAGCAAAACACGCACGAATATGTGCAGAGAATATACAGAGAATATGTACGGTCAATGTTACAAAATAGCACAATGATATACGATATGACAACCCTACTGGACGACTATCGTGTACCTATCAACAGTTAGTTCAAAGTGCTACCACACGCGGGTGGAGCACGACTGCAATAACCCTCAGACACGATCGTGTTGAGTAAATGAGTACTCGAGTCTGAGCGACCAACACCCGGGCTTGACCCTCAGTTGACAGACTTGTTCGAGAGCGCACGCCGCACTCGAGATTTCACCGATTTTTGTCACAAATGACCCGGTGACCTGTGACGTCACACAACCCCTTGGCTAATACGAACTCGCTTATTAGGTCAATATCAGCTCGCTTGTTTGGTATCTAGATAATTCCCTGTGCCAACAGGCTAATGATGATCGGAAAATATATACCCTGTACCGCGGCCTTTAACAATGGGAGTGCCCCCGGACTTTTATGCTTACTACTCAGGGCCGGCGGAGCCGGTCCGGCCAGTCCGGCCATGGGCGGACCAATAATTCTTCCGATCATTATTTTTTTCAAGCACACATTTTCGTTATGCACAGGCCGGATCTACAATTATTGCAATCCCGAGCATATAATGATCTGATATCACATATAGTTTATGTATACACGCATATATACTACTACATGACGTTGTTTTTATGTTTATAAACATTGACGTCATATGCGCACATGCGCAGTTTAACGGTTGGCAGCAAGCAGATGCGTGATATTGTTCGATACAAGCACACGCACGCACGCACGCACGTGTACGTACACACGCACGCACGCACGCACGCACGTGTACGTGCACACGCACGCACACACTCATGCACGCACGTGTACGTGCACACGCACGCACACACGTGTACGTGCACACGCACGCATGCACGCACGTGTACGTGCACACGCACGCACGCACGCACGCACGTCTACGTGCACATACATGCACGCACGCACGTACGTGTACCTGCACACACACGCACGCACGCACGTGTACGTGCACACACACACATGCACGCACGTGTACGTGCACACGCACGCACGCACGATCACGTTGATTTATAATGCTCTGGTACCAGGGTACGTTCCGGTATACCAGACTGTACCCAGGTACGTTCTGGCAGTACCCGTGACATAGACCCTCTCAGCGTAAATAATGGGTAAATGGGTAAATAAACCCGCACCTCAGATTAGCAACGCGGGTTATAACGTCTGCATTTGCGACTATGTTGAACTGTATAACTAAGCGGCTAAGCCTAGAAACTGTTTGACAAATCAGGGAGAGGGTTTTTGAAACACAGTGGCTATATGCCCGGCAGCCGGCGTATATCTGACGGCTGCCGGCACGTCTTCGATTTCCTAAATGCCCGGCAGTTTTTAATTTTTAGCGTTATCTCGAGTAAACAAGGGTTAGGGTTAGAGTTAGGAATTAGGGTTAGGGTTAGGGTTAGGTTTAGGGCTAGAGTTAGGGTTTTTGTTAGGTTTAGGGTTAGGGTTAAGAACTGCCGGGCATTTAGGAAAACGAAGACCGTGCCGGCTGCGGCATATATAGCCACAGCGTTTTGAAACTGGGCTTGCGCACGTTATTCTTCGAGGTCCGGGCTATACAGTATATACATATCTACCAATGAAGTTTTTTCGCAGAAAATGGAAAAAACGGCGTTCAAAGGCTACTCTGTACTCACTAGCTCCAAGAAACGGTATTGCTAGGGTTAGAATAGGACTGTATAGACAATCCGTCGCATAGCCTGGTCGGGCTATGTAGCCTACTCACCTGAAGATTGAAAGATAGATTGAAGATTGAAGATGAAGATTGAAAACAGTTTATTTGTGCATAAGACATACATAAATACAGAGTACACTCGTATAAAAGAAAATAATTACATGTTAGAAGTACAATTTTAATCAGTTTAAGCACGGGAGTGCGAAGGAACACTTAAGTCATCTAGTCCTGCCCCCCCAAGAGTAGATTAAACGTAAAGCAGCCGCTGAATAAGCAATAATGGTAATGAAGAAGCATAAAGCAAACAGTTTATAAATCAAAGGAGAAAAAGTGTAGGAACAATATGTAATGAACAAAATATACAATGAATATAGAATGAGCAACAAGATACTGTACACTTTAAGGAAACATTGAACATTTAAAAACATCAACACTCAACATAAATTGATCAAATTAATAACAACAAAACAATAGCAGGAACGAAGCAATATTTGCGTAGGACAAAACAAACAAGACTTTTCACATATATGTAAGCAGGAGTAGATGAAGATGTAAGCATAGCGAAATTATCACAGTAGATGCATTATTATTAAATCCATAAAAAGGAAATCATATATGTACAAAAAAGTTTGCGTCAAGAAATACGTAGTTAGTGAAACAAAAAACAAACATGACAAAAATAAATAAATAATTAATACAAAAATTATATAACAAATATAAATAAACAAAT